AACAGAGGTACTGCTCCTAAAAACCCCGCCTCTCCCATGGGCTAAAAACCCACCGAAAAAGGTAGATAACTGAGGGGGGGTGCCGTATATATATATATATACATATTATTTATCTCATCAACAGCAGAACTGCCTGGCCCCCCCCCCTATGAAACTTGTAGCTTTCAACTGCAGTCTAGCAGCTGTTGGCGGTGTAGGGTTCAGGGTTTCGGGGTTTAGGGAGATTACCCTAATCCCTCAACCCCAAACTTAAACCCTAAACCCTAAACCGCAAAGGGTGCACAACGACCGTGGATGCACACGACAGGCCTTCATCCTTGTTCATCATGTTGTCCATCTTGGCCTTGCTCTTCTCCGACTTCTTGTCCTCCCTTTTTCTCTGCCTGGGCTGTAGGTTTAGGGTTTAGGGTTTAGGGTTTAGGGTGTAGGGTTCTTGTTCAGGAACCTGTACTTCAGTTGCCACAATCGGGATAGATGGTAGATGCTAGGACGTATCCGCTCATGCTTTGAACTGAGCTCCTTAACAAGAACCCCTGAATCAACGTAAGGCCCTGTGTCAAAAACTGTCGAAACTCCTACACTTCAAGAACCCCACCTAAACCCTCAACACTAAACTCTTACGAAATAAGAACACAGGAGCTCCCTCCGTGATTCCCGGATTCTCGTCGACGTCTTCCTCATCGGCGACGCGAAGGACTGGAGCTCGTCGAACTTCAGGAGCCGGGATACATCGAAATCCTGGGGGCTCCCATGTAAATGAAGGGTTTAGGGTTTAGGGTCTAGGTTCTAGGTAAGGTTTAGGGGTTTAGGGTTTAGGGCTTTAGGGCTTTAGGGCTTTAGGGCTTTAGGGCTTGAGGGGTTCAGGTGTTGAGGCTAGGGTTTGGGTTCAGGGTTTACGGCTGCCTTACAGGATGTGTCATACGGAGTATACCTTGACTTCCGGAAGACCCTGGGCTCAGATTCCAGAGCATGTTGGGGCCTTAATAATTAGAATAAGCTTTGGTTTAGGGTTTAGGGTTCAGGGGCCTAGGGTTATTTGACTATAAATATGATAAGGAACCCTAAGGAATAATATCCGTGTTGATTTTGGCTTCTTTATTACCTGGTGCGATCACGGTCTGGGAACAGCTTTCTGGGGCTTCTATAGAAGTGCTGTCGGTGCAAATATAGGGCTCGAAGTGGCTGATGTGACCTTTTTGTCCCCGACCTAATCATCGCATCATCAACCCCAAACCCTAGTCTAATTATGAAGAAACCTGTATTGAACCCTTACTCAAACCAACAGAAGTTCCCACGAAGCCCCTATGAAACCCTGTTGAAACCCCTACTATGTAAAAGCCGTATAAACACCACCCTTTTCAAGACCAAAAAACTATCTATGCAAAAACCTACTAAACCCTGAACCCGAATTTAGTGAGGCTGGAGGAGCGGTCTTGTAGAGCTCGTTGTCAAGAAGCGCGAGGTCGTGGAAGTAGTGAAAGCCTCGGGGGGTGCTTTGGGGTTTACGGTTCCACAAAGGTTCTACAAGGGTTCTTCTGAACTAAAGCCCTAAAGCCTTAAGGATACCCGGATACCCTGCAGTGGGCAACAAGCTTCCCTGATTGCAAGCCAAAGGGCCCCTGAGAAAGTTGGCATATGCCTTTGCTTGGTACCCTAAGCACTACTAGGACCGAATTGGCGAAGCAAACCCCGCGGCTTTCTAAAACGACTGCCAGCCTTAAACCCTGAACGCCAAACCCCAAACCCTAAACCCTAAAGCCTCAACCTTGAATCCTAAGCTGAAATCCGAAAGGCTAACCCCAACCCTTAACCCTAAAGGAACCCCAAGGAATACTGTAAAGGAACCCCTAAATACTAAACCCCCTAACCCCCCGTGACGAGCAAGGGAGCAGGGGTGCTCCGTCGAAGAAACCTCCGCGGTGCGCATGAAGTTCTCATTCAGGTTCAGCTCGTCTAGCCTTAGCTCAGGGCTTATGGGGTTAAGGGGTTTGGGGTTTTTAGGGTTTAGGGTTTAAAGGGTTTGGGCCTCAGCTTGGGGTATATGGCTTTCTTCGGGCATGCAGGGTTTATTGGACTTAGATGGCTTAAAGGGTTTCTAGGATATTATTGGGCTTTTGGGGTTTACAGGCCTCGGGTCCAGGGTTTAGGGCTTGTAGGGTTCAGGGTTTGCGCTTCGTTCAGAGATCAAGCCTAAACCACCAGCCCGAAGCTCGCAGAGCAAGCATCGGTCTGTTCCACCTCGAAGCAATCAGGTACCCCTAACCTTAAGCAACCCCATATCTGTCAAAACCCTAGCCCTAAGCCCCAAACCCTTTCAAATCCTTAACCCCAGAAACCCTACACTCTAAACCCAAGAACCCTGAGTGCAGAAACCCTTGAAACCTTATCACATGGCACCCGTTGGGTATTGACGGTACTAAGCGCTCTTAAGCACTTCGGGGACTTTCAGATCTTCAAACATGCCTTGGGGCTTAGTGCACCCTTTGGAGGGTCCTTGAGAGCCGTCCGGCTCCCATGCATAGATTCGAAAGGCGAACAAGAGCGGAACGGTTTAGGGTATAGGGTTTAGGGTTTTGGGTTTAGGGTTTAGGGTTTTGGGTTTAGGGTTTAGGGAAGCACTGACCCCCCCAAGCTTTTCCCGAGCCTAAGTTTTAAAGCCACCCTTGAAGTCTTTATGCCGGGCCCGGGAGTCAACTGCAGGGGGGAGTGGCGTTTTGAAGGCCTGAAACCCTTGAAAGGCCTAAACCTTTCTGGAAGGAAGTCCGGCTGTTTGTGTGGATGGGCCTGAGTCCAGGAGCTTTCGGTTTCTTACTGAACCGCTATGCGCCCCGCCATCGATTCTCCAAGAGCCCAGCAGGAGGTTGCCTATTGACTGAAACTCCCATGTCGCTCTAGTCATGTAGGGAGATCCGATTAGCAGTTGGGGGGGATCCCTGTCCCAATCTAGTTAGTCAGCAACAGGTCCTCCCCTGTAGTCTCCATACACTTCTGCTATGAAATTTGGGGTTGAGGGTTTCGGGTGTTCCAAGGATTCGAGCCCGCATATGCTTGAGCCGCGGCGCCGGTTCCTTTTGTCCACCCCCCAGTCAGACTCCTCTTCCTCGACAAATCTGGAATTCGGATTTGTGAGTTGAGGGGGCTCATGACTTTAGGGCTAAGTAAGGCTTGGCCGAATTTTAGGCACAGGAGCTGAGTTCAGTTCAACAAACAGGGGATTCGGCCCTGCCCCGGGATGCCTGGGCGAGGCGAAGAATCAGGATGATAGCCCTGAGCACTTAGCGGTTATAGGGTTTAGGGCTAAACTCTACACCCTAAACCCTCGTTCTGCTGGGAGCGGCGAGGCTGCTGGAAAACGTTCGCTGACGTTCTTTTGTAAGGGTTCCAGTCGGTAATTCCTAAGGGTTGAGCGTTAAGTTTGGGGCTTAGTGTTCGAACCGGTGATGTCCTAACTGTCGGGTTGGGCTCATCCCCAAATGAGATGCACGATCTTCAAAACATGAAAGAAACATAAGTCTTAGCAGCCTCATACAGCCCTCAGAGAACTCTCATCACATGCTAAACTCTACACCCTTGAGTTTAACCCTTGAACACATTAATGTAGGGGCCTTAATAAATAGAATAGGGTTTTGGGGGGCTCCTTATTATAATCATGTCATAGTATAATAGGCCCCAAGACCCTGTTCGAATTATTAAGGCCCCTTTCTTAAGCCCAAGCCCCGCATCCTGAACCCCGAATTACCAAACCCCTGAATCCTCAACCCCTAAAGCCCTAGACCCTTAGCCACTGAAGCTCTAAACCCTGAACTCTAACGCTTTAGGGTTGAGGGTTTAGGGTTTAGGGTTAAACACCTGAAGGCTGAACCACTAAACCACAACAGCTAGGTACCCTGGCCTTCTTCAAGTCGTCCAAAGTCTCCCACTGCTTCGGATCACGTAGAGCGCCTGGGCTCTGACTGACGTGTACAATAGAAGTGGCGTGGGCTCTATAAGAGTTCTACGAGGGTTGAGCTTCCAGGCTGGCCTTTTGAAAGGGTCTTGCAGCGATTTCGGTGAGGATTCGGGGTCTGAATCATTTGGAATACTACTCCCCCATCGTCTCCGTATGGATATGCTATAATGTACCCTAAAGCCTCAGTCGAGTTGGTTAGCCGCCCACACAAGGGTCTAGGGACGGAAGCCTACCTCAACCCCTTCGCACATCGAAGCACAGACAACGCATCATTGCAAAAAACTTGTCGATGCCATAGCCAAAGCCCGGTTGTAGGGGCATTTGGGTTCAGGCCTGAGGGCTTCAGAGTCAAGGTAACCTTGCGGTTTTGGGTTAAGGGCTCCCTGACCTGACCTAAGGCACAGTAAGGGCGGTAGTTGCAAGTTCCCCTAAAATGGCGTTATATTTCTTAGTTCCCTAAACCTAAACCCCAAACCCTAAAGCTTATAACCCCACTTAGAACTATCCATGAGCCTCCAAGCAAGGCACAGTAAGGGCGGTAGTTCGGTGTCGACGGCATCCAGTTCCTGTGAAGCTCCGAAGCAGGAAGATGACTTGGGCTTGCGGCTTTTGTAACTAGGGTTTAGGGTTCAGGGTCCGTAGGGTATTGGGTTTGATTTAGGGCATAGGGTTTCGGGTTTGGGGCATAGGGTTTCGGGTTTGGGGTATAGGGTTTAGGAGATTTTAAGTGTTTTTAGGGTACCTTGCTGTGTGTCCGTATGTGTAGAACAAGGACGGTTCTCGCTATTACCACTTCCAGTCTCTGACAGTCCACGCTTTGGTACCTGACTTTCTGCATCTCCTTCAACTCTTGCACTTGTGGTTGGCGCTGCTAGCCGCAACCAGCAAAACGCTTGCCTACTCTCTCTACACGTTGCAGAAGGCATCAGCTTCGCTCCATACTAACCGAAACCCAAAACCGACATTAGGGTCGCAAAGCTCCACATTCTTGATGCTTGCATGACAGATGGCCCAAGATGGAATTCCTGAATCCCTGTCTCCACGCGAAACTTCGGAAAACGCGAACCACTACACCTGGAATCCGAAACTTACACGCTCAACATGCAGTTCGGAAAAAGAATCGGAAGTGACGACCCCTTTTCATCCCCACATAGCTGGACTACCTCCTCCAACCCCCACTAATCAGGCCCTTGAACTACCCTGTAAGAACCTAAACCCTACATCCTAAACGAGACCCCGACAAAAAATCTAGGACCCGGGAACTGTAGAGCCGGGAACCTGCACCGGCTGACCATGGACTAATAGAATAGGGTTTTGGGGTATACTTATAATAAGCTTCTGATAAAGAATCCTATAAGGAAGACTATGAGAATAAGGTTTGCGAGGTACACTTCGAAAAGGACCCTGAGAAAGAACCCTACAAGGAAGAACTTCTGCGTCTTGCTGAGGCTCCTGTAGTACCCTATGTCCTAAACCCTAAACCCCTAAACCCTAAACCCCCAAACCCTAAACCCCTAAACCCTAAACCCCTAAACCCTAAACCCCTAAACCCCTAAACCCCTAAACCCCTAAACCCCCAAAACCTTGC